ATGCTGCACTAAATTAAATCAATTGGCCAATTACAGGGATTGCATTGAGTGTAAAAAATATGATTTTCATTCTCATCAGTGTTAAGCAATACTTAGTGATGTCTTTAATTTTGCATCAAAATATCGAAGGACATTGTTAAATCTCAAAATATTGCACTGTATTATGTTGGCATTCTTTCGGAATATAATGCATTTAAACATAACTAATAACATACACACTACTTGCAAACAATATCTGACAAAAACACATTACAAATGTCCAACAAAGAGGCCAGCTAGAAATAGATCAGCCGATAAATGATGTGATGCCCGCCACAAGAGCCGAGTTACATACAATGCCAAGCCCTGCAAATATGCTGTGTGCATTAGCTAAAATGAACAATACAATTGGGGCAAATGCTTGTCCTCCCCGTTAATTGCAAGAGGCTGCTAGCAACATCAATTAAAAAGTTGCAATAATTATTATATATATAATACAGTAAGGTCTCAGAGTACGCGGCGAGAGTTGGGTTCCATATACCCCCGCGTAAGCGTGAATTCGCTTAAGTTGGGCTTTGCCTATATGAAATGCAAGTGTATATAAAATGTATATACATGTACATACGTGTTTAACAAAGTACAATACTGTACGGTAAATGATTCACTAATCATCGGTAGCGCCCAGGTCAGATAGAACACTATATATTATTAACACTATGTATTATTAACAACTAGATTAGAAGACACGATATTGTTTTGCACTCGTTCCGTGCGTGGGCGATACGGTTAAACTCCTTCAAATCCACGTCCGCGTGATGGAAGGGGGAGCGGGGGGGGGGGTGTTATTTGACTCCTCGCTTTCCACCCCGGGCGTGTAGCGAACGTACGAGTCACACAAAGTGTGAGCACGAATCGGGGTCGCTCGCGTATGAGCCGGTCCGCGTACGCGGGTACTCTGAGACCTTCCTGTGCACGGTGTATTTAATAACTTCCGAGATGTGTTTGTCTTCGTGAAGCCCGTAACTGCGTCTATGGACGCTGAAGGGTAGCTGCCAGGCACTGGTTTGTGTCTCAATATTTTGGGCTGGATCCGTTTGATCTATTTGGCTTGGGTTTTAATTAGGCGAACTTCTTCCACCCCTTTACACTCATGGGTTGTTCATGTAGGTCAAACTTTAGGAGAGTTATGGGGATCTCCCCCCCCCCCCCCAACCCCTCCCCGTTACAAAGTATTGCAAAAGAGGACACAAATTGGGTTTTCTTCCAATCACGTCGTATATAGCGTCGGTGAGCCGAGTAATTAATTAATTATCGGGAGAACCAAAAAATTTGCTTCCCGTGAAGTTCGATGCCAAACGCGATGGAAAGTGGGCAAAGCCCAGCCATGCTACTGATTGTATCACATTTATTTGTGTGTCCGTGGTGTGTGACGGCTAATTCAGATTCATTATCCCCGTTTACGTGGTGAGCGCTGAGCACCCACTGACAGGAACAGTCACGCGCCCACTCTTTAGGTGAGCAGAACTCACAGGCTCTTTAAGGTCTAATTCAGAGAAAAATGTGCAGCCTAACACGGTAGGCTTTCGCGACAAATATCATCAATAATACAGGTTTTTTTCTGGGGGGGGTTAGATCGCGTAAATTTCTGGCTGCCGCCTTATGATGCTGGTTGTAATTACTGGCGAAACCTCGTACTCAGAAATTACATGTTGTGGATTTACTCTCCGCACCGTTGTGCTATACTTTTAACGAATTGGCATGTTCCGTTGACGTGACAAACATTCATATGTAGGCGACCTAACCCAAAAAAAAAAACCTGAATTATTAAATCACAGCCTTTTGGTAATTACGCGCATGAACTGCGTGTCGGCGGCTGGGGACGGTGGGGGCGGGGGGGGTGATGAAGAGGTTGCGTGTGGAACAGAACTCTACTGCCGCGGGTGCAAACGAGCTCAGCCCGGAGAGAGCGTGTGCCAGCGTTGACCGTGAGAGGCGCGTCGGCCGAGCCGTGCGTGGCACGCGATGCTGGTTCTTGCCGCCTTTTCCCGAGTTGCTCGCCTTCAGGACAATTGAGTACTCGTGCCTCGGTGTCGGAGTGCACGTGCCCGGGCATGGCCTCGGCAACACGCGTACCTCCGGTGCAACCGTGGAGTATGCTTAATTGCTCAAATTACCATACATACATAAATGCATGGCATATAATACAATATCGTTTTAGTCACCTCTGGGGGGAATAGGCTTCCGTGTTAAAATTATGATTTGCGTCACCGGTGCGCCTTTGGGCAAATATAATCATTCTACTTAGCGCGCGGTGATGCGAGTTTTCGCCAGTGCGCGGAATTATTTGAATGTTTAATCTGGAGGCGTCAACATGTTCCTTTTTGAGCGCTTTTTAACTTCAGAACATTGCATTCGTGTATATCGCACGCAGCAATTACGGGCTGTCCTTCTCGGCGAGCTGCGACGTGATGTTATGCAGACGCTGCATTTGTGGGTAATTAATTTCAACACAGCACTGATGGCTTTGATTGTCACAGACGCAGATAGGGAGAGAGAGAGAGCGACACTCCGCCAGTAGGACAGCGGCAGACTTTAAGATATTTGACCGTACGAGCGAGTGAGCGAGTGAGAGAGAGAGAGAGAACACTGGGCGGTGGAACGACGAGGCGGATGCACAGTGCGGTTACGCGACAGAGTCAGACGGGACTGACCAGATAGACGGAGTGCGCGCTCGTTGCATTAGTATTCAGCACCAGGCTCGCCGGACGGCGCAGGCCGGCTCGGCTCCTCTCGCGTGGGCCCTGGGTTTCCCCGTCCTTGGGGCACAGCGCTGTGCGGCAGCCCCCCCCCCCCCCCTCACCGCATTAAGTTTATAGGGCTTAACCAGGCGAGGACAACTCAAGAGGCCACGGTGGGGTCTCATTTGCAAGAGTGACCCGGGGCATTTAGTCTGCCAGGATTGCTGCTGCTGCTGCTTCTGTGTGTGTATAATCCCAATTGAGTAATTTGTGCCGTAATTGTCGAATTCCGGCAAATTTCGTACGCCGGTGCACGACTAAGCACTTCCATAGTTTTTTTCAGAAATGTAAATTTCTAATTGTTGCTCCAACATCGACATCAGCCGCACGAAGAAGAACGGCACTACGCATGAAAATGACGTCAGGGGATGTTTCGCGTCCCCCCACCGTGATGAAGACGGCGCGCGTTCATCACCGCTACTACACCCGCAGTGATAATCAGGGCGGGCGGCTAGATTCCAACCGTGAAACCTCGACAACAAGCGTGAACGAGCTTACCGCGAGACCCGCGTCACACCGACCGACCGACCGTTCGTTACTCCCCACTACGCCATACAAACCGCGCATGGTCCACGGGTAGCGAAGTAACCGGAGTAGTAGATCAGATCCACGCCGCACGCCGCGCGGGGGCCCCCGGTGGCCGTGTGCGTGCAGCACAACCCCGGCCCGCGGGTAATCCTCGGATCCATTGCCACGGTGCGTCGTGCAGCTGCAGCCCGCCCTGGCGTCACGTGCAGCAGACACCAGCGCATTACCATTCCCGCCGCGTGCGTGCGTGCGTGCGCGCGCGCGCGCACACGCGCGCGCACATGAACGCGCGCGCGCACAAAGATTAAAAAAAAATCACCCGAGTAGCCTTAGCGAATGTTGGGGCAAGTGCTGTAGGCGAGAACCTATTAAGGTCAGCGCGGTACGTGATAGGGTGGGTGGCCAGCATCCACGCCCGGACGCCTTTGTCTCCCTATTGCATCTGCTTACACATCACACCAGGTGCTCGTTTGAGGCTGAGTCGATCTAGAGAAGACCCAGGACCGTTTTTAGATAATCGTCACTGGTGTTGGCGATGGTCGGGGATCGAACTCGGGTCACCGAGTTCATAGCGCAGTGTGCTAACGGCTACACTACCGCTCCCCACCACGCGCGCACACACACGCACACACGCGTGCACACGAACGGTCGCGCATTCGTTCCACCCCTCCACCACCGCAGCATCCCACGTTAAATAAAAGCCAGCCATTATGCAATTGGCTCGAAATCAATACGCGAATAAATAGATAACGTGTTTGCGAAGCGTTCCCATAAAACCATCACGGTCTACGGAACCGCGCCGCGCCGCTGAGCGTCGCGACGAAACAACGTGGTGAAGGAAGAGTGCCACCTCGCAGAGACTTTTAATCTCCGTCGACGCAAATCCATAACGCGCGACGCATTGACCCCTTACGAGACAGAAATAAATAATAAACGTGCGAAAAGGAGGGGAAAAAAAAGGAACTCGGTCAAATCAACCGTCAACAATTCGTGCGCGCTATCGGCGTCAAATCGCAGCAGCTGCAGCGGCTGCGAAACCATCTTCAAACCTTTTTTTGTTTTGTTCGTATCGTTAATTTCACATCGAGCAAAAATGTCTCGCGCCGCCCGCGTGGTCGGCTGCTCTCCGTGTCGCCCGAGCCGAGACGCGCGGGGACCCGCCCGTGCCCACGCCCGCTCCTCCCCGCCCGCCATCAATGCCGCTTACGTCAACATTGATTTGCCGCCGCGCGCTTGAATTGAACAAGGGGCCCCGGGATGAGGAATCACTGGGGGAAACATGTCGCTGATGCTGGGATCGAAGCGACTCCGATGGCTGGGAAGGCATCGTTCACCCGGCGCGCGCTGAGCCGGCTCGCCCCACCGAGGCTCCTCCTAACGCAGACACCGGAGTGCTGATCGATGCAGCATATCGCCTTGGCGCACCCTTCCCAACTGCGCTCGGAAGAGTCGCAACACCCGGCGCGCGTTCGAAATTGCCTCAGTGCCAAGTGGAGTGTACGCGCCGTTACTGAACGCGCAGGGCGGGAAGGCTGGTGGCAGCGGCGGGGGTTCATTGCCTCGTTGTGTTGTGCTTCAAGGTCAAGATGGAAGTAATTTATGGAGGCGCTAACGTCTTCTCCAGTTGACGTTCAGCGAGTGGCGTCACTTTTCCCATCCCATCCCCGTGCTCCTTCCTGAACTGTGCGCGCGTTGCCATGGGGTGGTTCACAGAGACCCCTCGACGCCAAATTGCACCGTTAAGCGCGGGGATACAGGTGCCTCCAAGCATACAATAACTATTATAATATCTAGTACACCCCTTGTAATATATTTAGTAATATCGAGTGCGCGTGTTCACGCACTCATCGCAGCGCATCGAGGCGAGCCTCAGAAGAAGCCGCGAAAGAAAACAGCACTGTTCATTTTTTTCGTCTTGTTTCTTTCTCACTCCTCCTCTCCTGCTTAGCGTGCACACTGGTGTGTGTGTGTCTCCCCCACCCCTGCCCCCTCTTCTCTCTCCACTCTTCCCCGCCCCTGCTTCTCCGCCACGAGCGCGCGCCGCCTGCAAGCTGCTTGCACCACCGCGCCTGACTCGCGCCGGCCGTCAGACGGAGCGCGTCCGCCTTTACCACGAGGACGCGCATCCCGCAAAAAAAATCTAGCGAGAGAGAGAGAGAGCGGGAGAGAGCGAGACACACAGAGAGAGAGAGAGAGCGCGCGCGCGGGAGAGAGCGCGCGCGCGAGAGAATGAGCACGTGACCTGCGCTCGCTGCGAGAGCATCTGGCAATGTCTGCTCGGCCGCCACCGGCGCATCGCTGCTGAGCTCAGTCGCCCCTCGGATGCCGTGTTACGCATGTTTCGGCGCTCACAGACACCGGCGGAGGATCGGAGCGGCGTGAGCGCCCGAGTCGCGTCTCGTTCGTCCTGCGGGTGAAACTTGCGGAGCTTCGCTGGAAGAGGAGACGGGCGATGCAATGGGAGTATTGGGAGCTCGCTTTCTGCTCGCTCTCGGGATCGTGGTGAGCTGCTACGGCTCCGTGGCAATCGGCGACTCCATCATTCACATAGGTGCGTGCTCCGCTCTGCGCGGCGGTGTGAGCGAGCGAGCGAGCGTGCGTGCCGTCGCGTGTCTGTGCTTTGCGCTTGGTTCAAGAGGACGGGGGGGGTCCTGCAGAGGAATGCGTTTTTTTTCTGTCGTTGTAATTTCACAGGGCTGAGGATCGAAGGCTCTGACTGCTCGTGCGAGGTTCTGTTTTGGGGTTAATTTGCGCGTTATGTTGCGATCGCGAATGTTTTCGCGCGCCGCTCGCAGCAGCAGCAGCAGCAGCGAGTGGAACGTAAGTGAACTGCTGCACTGCGAGTAGGCACCGCGCACCGAGTTCAGATCATTCCGGCAGCGCCGCGAACGGGGCGCGTTCGCGTTAATTTGCTGTAAAACGGGCGGATCTGAGCGCCCGTCGTTCGCTCTCAGAATTTTAAACAGCCGCTTGTGCCAATGATCCTTTTCATCCTTTGAGATTTAACGTGCCAACGAAGATGCTGCCAGAACAACTCCCCGTTTAATATTCTCCGAGCGAAAGCCGTCGTCATCGTACGCTTCGGTATCTTCTCGCAGTTGAATTCCTGCATACAGTGGTCTGCCTGCCTCCGACTGACGATGGCGCGGATACAACGGCGTGATGACTCCGTGTGTGCGTGTCTGTGACGGCAAAGCCAATGCCACCCCGTAGCCACGACACCGATGCGTTTGCAATACACGCACCTAAAGGAGCCTGTGAGATGAGCTCGGCGGGCATCACCAGCCCGTCCGTGCGTTAACTCTTACGATGGACTAAATATCGCCCCCATATATTATTGCAACGGGCGTCGCATACCCTGTACGGACTTGCCTGTATAGCCACCCAGTCTGGCTCGCTTGTTGTGTGAGCCCTGCTACCGTCGAGGGAAGGCGAGATACGGAGAGGGGGGGGTGTGGGTGGGTGGGTGGGTGGCGCTCGGGAGCACTGAAGGTGGCAGCTCTAACAGCCTTGCCCACCCCACTCAACGCATGGCACAGGGACAACAACGCGTGCACGCCGACCGCGAGATTGCCATCACAGCGCCCGGGGCCGAGTGTCACGTTAGCCCAGGCATCGCGGTCGTGCGCACAGGGAATTCACAGGCGAACGTGTGCGTGTATCGACGTGGCGAATTGTTGCGGTGGGGTTAATGGCAACTCGAGGCGACGTTGCAACTCAGAGATGCTCTTTGTTCGCTCTGCTGGGCAACATTTGCATTGCTTTCTTGGCCACGTTTTTTTTTTCTTCTGTTCACGCGCCCGCTGTCGAAGGTGACAATTAGTACGAGTGTGCACATGTCATCAACTTCTTACGGCAAGCCGCGCTCGCCCTCTGCGCTGTGCGAATGTGCGAGCGAGCGGGACAGCGAGCGAGCTGCCGAACGGGCAAAAAGCGCCACGGACAGACCAAATTATAGCATGGCAATGCATTGTCAACGCGGTTATATGCGCGCACACACACACACGGTTAGAACATTCACCGCAGGGAACATTGCAGAAATAATTAATAGAAGCTACAAATGTCACGAATATTAATTAAGAGCCTTTGAAGCGAACGTCGAATGTAGTGCACGTCATTGCAATCGCTGAATGGCGCTATCCGACTGTTGCTTGCGCGTAATTTATGCGGATCGTTTTGCTGGTTTGAAATGTCGTCGTGCCCGCTGCATATGCCTCCTCCCCGCACCGAGTTTGAAGGTGCCGCTGATTCGTATCAGACAGGCCTCCGAGTTGCCTCTCCTACCAAATGATGGCATACGAGCGTTGCACACACACACACAATATAATTTCGCTGGTAAGGTTGAATGATGTGTAAATTCAACACAATTATTCATAATGAACACGAGATCATTCCAAACCGTTTTGGCTGATTTGGTTTCTGGGGGATATACGGGGCAATGGTATACCAACACGGCGTTGTACATGTCACACGCACTGCGCGGCGCGGTGTGGAGGAGGCGGAGAAGCGCTCGGTGCCGAGTGTGGAGAACCCCCCCCCAGGCCAGCGTGGTGCGTGCGCGTGTGTGCCCGCGCGTGCCCGTGTGTGCGCGCGCGTGTGTGCGCGTGTGTGCCCGTGCGTGCGCGTGCGTGCCCTTGCGTGCGCGTGCGTGCCCGCGTGTGCAGGCGCCGTGTTCGAGCGAACGGCCACCAAGGATGCCGAGGTGTTCGGCCAAGCGGTGTCGGACATCAACGGCAACGACGAGATTCTCCAGAGCGAGAAGATTGCCTACTCCGTCAAGTACGTGGACGGAAACAACCCCTTCCAGGCCGTCCAGGAAGGTGAGAAACGCCGCCCTTGTGAGCGAGCGCCGTGAGCGAGCGGTCCGGCGTGAGAGAAGCCGTGGAATTTGCATGAGTGCGTGTGTGAGAGAGAGCGAGCGAGTGAGTTTGTGGCGCAAGTGAGTGAGTCGGTCTGGGCACGAGTGTGTGAGTGCCATGCACTCGAGAGATGGGGAGCAAAGTGGGAGGGATGGGGGGGGGAGGGCTTCGTCTCCATCACTCCCGTGGGGCGGGGGGGGGTGGTGAGAATTGAAGACTCACAAAAGAGCGAGTCAGGCATGCCCCCTGGTGTCATAAATCCCTATCTCTCTGTGAATGGGGGTGGGGGGTGTGAGAAGGGAAATAATTTAATAACCATGTAAGTGAAAGGAAACATTTGGGACCAAACGGGCATTATGCAGATCATTGCGGACACGTTTACGGGCAGTTGCTGCTGCATCTCCACTTGCTGCTCGAATGTTGTACGCCACTGATATCGGGCCTGGTATAAGCCTACGTGTTGAACTGCCTTGAATAGCGTTGCACAAGGGATGCAAAAAGCAGTAAGGCACATTTATATATATGTCAAAATGTATGAAACATTAATCTTGTTCGTCATTACTACTGGTTTATAACAAAAATATATATGTATGGTACTTTGACATTTCGAGGCAAAGCCCCTTCACCAGAATATAGGAGTAGAAGGAGCAATTCTGATGAATAGCCGTGGCTATTTCCCGGAAATGTTGCTCCCTTGTACATTTCTGTCATAAAGCGGAATTGGTAAGGGACGTGGGAAGTTGTTTGTTAAAGTCGTGCCAATGCATTATGTTGTATAATGTGTGTATATATCATGTATACATTAATCACATCCGCAATGTACTGCTTATTATTATTATGGCTTTTAAAACGCGGGGTTTTAAATTAACGTAGCGCAAGGTCGGTGTGACTTTCTGAAGGCAAATGTTCATACTTTTTTGACTGCTCATCATGCGAGTATATTCCCTCGTTTGTGCACATTTACACATCGTGTCACGGTTATGCGCACGCGTTCCATACGCACATGTTGATGCATTGTGTTGTGTCCACAATTTCTCGGAGCGCTTGACAAAAAAACGCAGCATTTTCCTCGGCGTCAACTCCTATGTCACGTTTCCTAAGCCACGCTGCATCAGTGTTATTCGTACCCATAGCAGTTCTCCGTTTTCACCAATTCGGACAGCGTGTCCAGATGCCTTTACTTTTGTGAACTGTTTACTTGGCGCGCGATTGTAACGGTCTCGGTGAAGGGGGACTGTGCAGTTCTCTCGGATCGTCCCTTCTGGCACTGCCTCAACGCAAACCGTCAGGTTAACCATCCCCCGAATAACAGCTGCCTCATTAACAAACGGAAAGACCGAAAGATCAGTCACGATCATGAATTGCATTGATTGTATTGGCTGTCTGTGTTCCACGTGGGCAGAGGCTGGGACGTAACAAGGTGCTCCGTGCCATCATCCTCCTCCCCTTGCTATATCCTTGCAGACATCGAAGAAGGCTGGAGCCATAACTGCAAATTTGCTAAATGGCCAACGGTCACTAATTAAAATAAATTGGACCCATCTATTTTAGAATTCAACGTGGCACAATATAATTATGATTTATTTTTAGTTGATGCGCTTAATTCACTTAATTGGTATTACGCGAATAAAAAAATAATCACACACTTGGAAGAGAAAAACAAATCATGGATTTGAAACAGCCGCGTAGCATTGGAGGGCGCGTGCGGCGTTAAAGACTGCGCGCAGCAATCCCACAGTGTCACGTGTGGCCTCGTTCGACAAACGTTGAAATGTGCACGTCGCTAAACGCTAATGAAGGCATCTGATCGCATCCCTGTGAAACACTTCAGAAAAGAGCACTATTGATTTCCATGTAATCTTAAAGGGCCTCGCTGCTCGTGTGGCATGTATGCCTTGATGTGGCATTCTGCGTTTACTGCGCTGTTTAATGAGCTGTTTGCCTACTTAGTGATCAGTTTTTTTAAGCATCTACCCTGTTTTGATTGATGATGAGCTATTACACAAAAATGCACATTAGCGCGTGTACAACCTTTCACTGAAAGGTTGTAAATGGCCGGGCATTGCTCGTGACACTGCTGATGTGTGCGATGAATGGGAATGCAGCCAAGCATTAGCATCTCCCAGGGTTCCGTTCTTGCACAATCATACACACAGCACAATGAACTTGTGCCTTCATGTGCAGGGGGGATTCTGCATTAATTGTTTAGGGCATTCCCCTCCTCCGCCTTAAAGCAAGAGCTGCGATTTCAGAGAAGTAATACAACAAAACAATGCATCTACCGGGACAGTGAGACTTCAACATTGTCAAGAAAAATGTCACGTGTATAGTCGGTGTGAATCGACCTTAAACATGAAAGTGTAATGCTCTTAAGCAGATTGTGTTGCTCGGTTATAGTGCTTTGTTCCACGCGGGTCGCGTTTTTACACGTTTTTTTTTTATTAACTCACTCTGTTGTTGTATCCTCAAATCTTGTAACTCAATTTTAACCCACTTCCCAATATGGTCTCGACTAAAAACTTGGTATACTTATGTCATACTGATGACAATACTATATTCTATCATTAAAAAAATATATATTTTATATGTTGTTTCGGCTTGGGTCTAATTGTCCACGCTCAACTGACGGCTATAAATCACCACGGTCCTTTATGTTATGGCAAGCTTCGGGGCCACTTCATGGAGTCATGGAGTTCTGCCATTACTTGTACGGTACATTTCATTAAAGCGTGTTTAAAAAAAAGTTTTTTTTTTAATATTACTTATTTCAACATTCATTATGGCACTTACAGGAGCGTTTCAGTTCGTGAGGACAAGGCAGGGTGTTGGCTCACCCTGTCAGGCAGACTTCTCAACGCCGCGTAGGACTATTCTTCCCATCTAAATCCACCCCTTTTAAATATCTTAGAAGGCTTCTCGCGCTGTCTGATACCCTGGTATTTTGGAGAAAGCGATTTTACTTTTTTGCAGTACAGAGTCGAAGTTCCGACGTGACATGCTGACACCCATGCCAGATCAAAGCTTCACTTCCTCCCCCCATGCTTCCCTGCCCACGTGACTTGTCATCTCCCGTCTTTCTTAACGTCCCTTCGCCACGCTCTAAACTTCTGAAGTTTGCCTCCACTTACGCCGGGATATGCCAACTCCAGTGCGCCTGCGTCCCCCCCACCCCCACCCCCGGCTAGAGACGGGCGCGTGTGCGCCGAGATTAAATCGTCATTTTTTTTCTCTTCTTTCACGACAATTAAAGGGCGTTATTTTACCGCAGTTTAAATCTCGAAAGTGGACGGACAGGGCGGGCGGGAGTGATCTGAGCTCGTCTTGCCACCGTCAAAGCCGCCGCTATTTTATTTTATGATGACGTTGGGGGGGGGGGGCTGTAGGGGAAGTCGAGCAAACGACGCCGCCGACACTGCGTTGGGCAAGTTGGCGAATCCGGGGTGAGCTCCCACTCACGGAGGTCAGCGCGGATGCGTTTTGATGTCGCGCGCACGGGCGAGGGTTGTCCTCGTGCATTCGCGATGCCTCCCAGCGCCCCCCCCCCCCCCAATCACTACCCCCCTCCGCGCCCACGTCTCATGCGTCATGAATCGCGCGCGATTCAGCGAGGCATTTCACTCCCCTTACACCGCCAAACAGCAGCACTGCAGTTCCCCACTCCCCACCACCACTTCCCCCCCCACCTCTTCCCCAATCCTGCGTTGTGATTTTGGTGTCGGTATTCGGCGGCGTCTTTTGTACCTCTCGGAGGAAAAACGGCGCGGTGGTGTTTCGTGAAACATCCGATTGATAACCAGGAGTGAAAAAAAACTTGCACGCGTTCGTCAATGACGCTAACTTAAAAAAAAAACATCAAATATGCAACGTTTTGTGCAAGTATCGTTCATCGTAGAGCGTAAATAATCTCATGGGAAACAAAGAGGGGGACAGTATAAAAAATAGAACCTCACTATGGCCCCCTATATGTCCAGACAGTTGGAGCAAGTGGATTAGCGAGCAGCTATTAAAGGCTGGCACAGTGCATGAAGGGGTGTGATGTGGTCAGCACCATGCCCGGTTGCCTTCGCCGCTCCATGAGTTGCGTTTGTACACCGTGCCAGGTACTAATTAGTTCAGAGGCCACGTGCCACCGATGTTCTCCAAGGGAATTCGAGTCGCTGGGGTTTACAGCACAATTCGCTAACTACTACGCCACCGCTTTGCGTGGCACCCATAGACAAAGATCCCCCTCATAGCTTTAGCAGACTGTTGGGGCAAGTGCTACTCGCGAGCACTTATGAAAGCCATCACGGCACACAAGGGGGTGGGTGGCCAGTACTACGCCTGGCCGCCTCTGTCTCCCTCCTGACAATGCTTAATACACACCGTGCCAGGTACCCAGTTGAGGCTGAGTAGACCTAGGGGAGGCCCAGGAGCCGGTTCAGATATTCGTCACTGATGTTGGCCGTGAGCGGTAGTTGTTTCCGGGTTCGTAGTGCTGCACCATAACTGCTGTGCTGCTGCGCATCACACATGCACCACAATAAGGTATATTTGGGCTGTGGTGAGGTTAGGTATCCCTGATGATCCGGCAGGCAATACTGCTGGAGATGTTCGCATTTCTTTGTACTCTTGTTATTAGTCGTAGTGTATCGCTTGTTTAGCCAGGACAGTCTCATTGATTCTCAATTCTTTTTCAGCAGGGTCCTGCCAAGTGTTTGAAGTCGAGGATGATAATGCTATATGTAATCCCAAATGAGTAATTTTCAGGTTATTATTCAGCATTGGCATGTTTTTGGCCAATACTCTTTACATTGTACGGGTTTTTTTTTCTTCCCTCTTGGCTTTGAGAGTAAATCTAAGAACCCGGAGGAAACCCATGCAGAACAGGAGAGGCGCCCTGGTCAGGAATCAAACCCAATATTTCCCTGCTGTGAGGCACAAGTGTAACCACTGTGCCACCTTGCCGGCTAAAAGTGGAA